ATGATTTTCCATAAGTAGATTCCAATCATGGTGCCCTGTGTGTGTCAGAGTAGAACTGTGCTCCACAGGGTTCTCAGTGGATGATTTTTCATAAGTAGATTCCACTCATGGTGTCCCCATGTGTGTCAGAGTAGAACTGTGCTCCACAGGGTTCTCAGTGGATGATTTTTCATAAGTAGATTCCACTCATGGTGCCCCCGTGTATGTCAGAGTAAAACTGTGCCCACAGGGTTCTCAGTGGATGATGGTTCATAAGTAGACTCCACTCATGGTGCCCGTGTGTGTCAGAGTAGAACTGTGCTCACAGGGTTCTCAGTGGATGGTTTTTCATAAGTAGATCCCACTCATGGTGCCCCGTGTGTGTCAGAGTAGAACTGTGCCCCACAGGATTCTCAGTGGATGATTTTTCATAAGTAGTTCCCACTCATGGTATCCCCATGTGTATCAGAATAGAACTGTGCCCCACAGGGTTCTCAGTGGATAATTTTTCATAAGTAGATCCCACTCATGGTGCTCCGTGTGTGTCAGAGTAAAACTGTGCTCCACAGGATTCTCAGTGGATGATTTTGTAGCAATAGATCAGTAGGTCTTCTTTCTGGTACACCTTTGGAACTTGCTCATTTACACCACCCAGGTGCACAATCTGCCAAGAAGTCTCTGTTTGGGAAGGATCACTCTGGTCTTGCAGATGCGTATGGTCACATATCTCTGAAGGTCTCCGCTCTGGACCTCATGTTATTCTATTGGAGACCTTGAGGTAACTCTTATTGGCCCAGCATTCAGAACTCAGGATAAGCCAAGGTGAGAGTCACTTTTGGGACCTCAACACAGAAGACTGCAGAAGAACTTACCATGGGGCCAATTTCACCAGTTTCTCCTTTGGGCCCTCGCTGCTGGCCATCCCGCCCAGAGTCACCCTGAAAACACATACATGAGGAAATGAGGCACACGTGCATGTACAGGAAATCACTGCAGCATGGACTGGACAGTCAGTGACCACACTAATGCAAGGCTCAGAGGGGACAGCCTTGGACCACATCTTTCCAAGTGGTATCCATTCAACTGAGCCAGAGCCTAGCTAAGAGATCAGCAAACAGGGGTACCGGCTCTTCTTCCCCAGGAAAGGGAACCCCCAAAAAGGCTGCCTTCACTGAGTTAAATCTGACTCTGTCCTCATCACTGGTCCCAGAGGAAGACCACCTCAGACAAGGGAGGCTGACTGGTGACTGGCATTTGCTTACAAGTCTTAACAGAGGCATGCAAAGGGAAGAGGTCCTAGATCTTCTCTTCACCAACAGCAAATTTAAAGCCTCCTAAGACTGGTGTGGTTCTGTGGGTTAATGTGCCAGACTACAAAGCCATTTGAACTGCAAGGTCGGTGGTTCAAGCTCACCAGTCACTCCTCGGAAACCCTATACAGGGTCGCTATGGGTTGGAACCGACTCAATGGCACTTAACAACAACAACAACAAGACTGCAAGGTCAATTTGAACCACAAAGTCAGCAGTTCAAGATCACTAGCTGCTCCTCGGAAACTCTATACAGAGTCACTATGAGCCGGAACCAACCCAATGGCACTTAACAACAGCAACTGAGGCCACATTGTAGGGACACTTCTCAGGTCTGTGTACGAGTATAACAGTCTTGCCAACACTCATCTTTGCAGTTGGCAACCTAGCGCATTGCCAACAATCCCAGAAAAGGGACATTTTATCAAGCTTCATGCAATTTTAAGAGTAGAATTCTTCCCTTGGTCTTCTTTCGTCACATCCCTTTTCCCCATGCCTTGCCCAGACTCAGATCTAAATTGTGAATGAAGACATGCTCCTTACAGGGTCCCCTCTGATTCCAACATCGCCTCTTTCTCCATGGTCTCCTTTCGGCCCCTTATCACCCTAGAAAACAAAACAAAACAAAAACCACAAGTGGAGGAGAAAGTTTGCTTTTGTTTTCAAACTTTTCTCTTAAAATTACATTGTCTTCACAGCACAATGATGTTGGTCAGTCACTCGGTGGCCATGAAGGTAAAATAATTCATAAACATTGTGGATTTGTACAGTCAGTACACAGGTATCTATTGGGGACCCACTGTGTGCCAGACACTGGAGGTTTATTCACCATGGAACAAGCTCAGCTCCTGCTCTACGGTATATGCAATCCAAACAAGCAATGGGACAAGTCAGAGCTGACACATATATGGAGGTTAGACATTACAGACACATGTGGTGGGAACCAAAGGAGACGCCAGGAAGAAGCAAACTTAACGTGAGAGAGTCAAGGAAACAAAGGTGCCCTAAATGAATGGAGTCCTGGGGCGGTGCTATAAGATCAGCACTGGCCTACTAAACACAAGGTTGAAGGTTCAAACTCACCATTAGCTCCTCGGAACCCCCAAACAGGGTCGGTATGAGTCAGAACCGGCTCGATGGCACTCAACAACAACCAATTAATGAAATGCTCCTACTTTTTCCACAATGACAACTCAATGGAAAAATACCTACCCTTCTTCCAAGGCTCCCCTTTTCTCCAGAAGACCCAGGCATCCCTTTGTCTCCCTGCCAAAGACAACGATAACACGTCATTTCCTATGTGATTTCTGAAGCGGACAGCTGTTAGTTAATGCAATCTTCAGAGCCAAAGCATGAGAACTTAGAAGATATAATCACTCACATCTTCACCATTCAGCCCATCCAGCCCGATTTCTCCTAATTCACCCTGTGAGGCAACAAGACGCATGGGTTAGGAGAGAAAGTCATCCAACAAAGGAAAAGTAAGAAATTCTGGGAACATTTTAAACACACATACAAAACAAAGTCAAGTATGAATACCTTCTCTCCTGGGAATCCACGAGAGCCCTGGAAGGCAAGGGAAAAGGGGAAACTGTTAGCTCCCCTTCTACAAGGTCACTCATGGCCAAAGAGGCAACGGGCATCTGTCCTTCCTGCCCAGTTTGAAAGCCACTGTGTCAGCAAGTACAGAGTTGAAGTTGCATCCATTGGAGTACTCACTCCCCATCATGGGTCTGGTAAAAAGTTAGTCTTCTAACAAAGCCGAGGAAGGGGCCGCAAAGGTGCCAGAGAGGAGTTTCGCAAACTTTATGACTTTAGGTCCTAGCAGCACTCTGACATCCCCAAACAAAGAAGCCCTTAAATCCAATCTTTTACCATCAAAGAACAGAGTCCATCCTCCCAGTCCCTCTCCCATGGCCCCTTGCAATTGTGGGAATAAGTGTCTTTTCTTCAAAATTCTTATAGTCCTGTTTAGTGCATTCGTGTGACCTTTCTTTTACTTTTTGCTACTTCCTGAAGTGAGTAAGAAGAATGCGCACCTCAGAAATTTGAATTAGCCAGTCGGATAAGGAAAAAGACCGTGTGGTCAAAGCGCTAGCCAATGGGGTGAGACATGGTCTTAAGACTTTCGTCAGGGATAAAACCTGAGTGGAGAGTTGCCCGCTCCGTGTGCTCGCTGGCTTGTTCTTATACAGCTACACACACACGCACCCTTCTGCAGAAGTAAATTTTGCCTTGCCGAGGCAATTTAGTCTCACCGAGTGTCTTTTTGTGTGATATTGGGGTTCATTTCTAACACAGCGGGTCCCAGCCGACCCTCATCCTGGCCCATATCACCCTCTAACCTGAAGCATCCCTGGCTGCTCTATGTCTACATTGGAAACCATGTCTCTGCTCTTAGCCCCCCTCTAGCTGTGGGGGAACTCCTGGACCCCTCCTTCATGGAGGCCCCTGTGTGATGGGAACGAGGAGCCCCCGGTCCTCCTACTCCCCCTCCCACCTCGGAAACACCTACGCCACCACTTCACACACTCATGCTGGGCTGGGATGCTGCACCCCTGGCCCTCCTCAACCATAGCATCACCCCACCTTCGTACCTTTATCCCCCGCTGGCCCGGGCAGCCCTGGAAACCTTGAGTGCCGTTCACACCTGGAGGACCTCGTTCTCCCTGAAGACAGAAAAGCAGAAGGTGGAGCTCCGTGTCATGGTCTGTCCACTGAGAGACTGCGTCGTGGGTAAGGCACACACTGGACTGGGGATTTCACCGACCCAGAGTCTAGATCAGCCTGTATTTCCACCCCTGGAGAAAGTAGGGGCTCCACACCCAGGGTCATTGAGGCCTGGAGACTGAGTCAGTGTGGGCACTGGGTCCCCGTGGAGAAGACACCAGGCTGACTGCCCCTCCCAGGATCCCAAGTTACAGCACAGAACTGCACTTGGAGCCTAAAACTCTCTAAGGAACAGGGTCTAGATGGCTCTGGGCACCCAGGGTCAGTGGGGCCTGAACTGCCTGGCTGCCCTCTTGGTTCCTCAGCTCTCCATGGGCCAAACTCAGTCCTGACACCACACTGGGGGCTGGTCCTGAACTCACCTGCCTCCCGAGACCCCTTCTCCTCGGTCCCAGAGCTAGACCCTGTCTAGTATCCCCAGTCTGCTCCTCATGGACTTCCCAGTCAGAGGGGCCCTGGTTCTCAAGTCCACCCCATGCTCAGCTGGGCTACTTTATTATCCAGGACCCTATTCAGACAAACCTTTTCCTCGCCCCAACCCCTACCCCCCGCCGCCAAAAGCTCTGCCAGAAGGGGGCAACCCTATAGCTCTGGCTGGTTTCCTGGGAGCTCCTAGCTCCACGGAGATGATACTATTTTCCATAACACAGAAATCCCAACAGTTGTTAGGAAATTATGTTTCCTCCATAGGGAAACCACTGGAAACTGAAGGGGTTAAGAGCCCCACAACTCAATCCCAACTTGTTGGGAGTAAGAAGGGGGTAGAACAGAAGATATCACACAGCCCTCACTTACCGGTCCCCCCTCATCTCCTGGGTAACCCCGGTAGCCATCTTCTCCGGATGTGCCCTACAACAGAGCAAAGAAGGTTCTTGATTAATCTTGTGATATCCTTGTTGTTCATTTAAGTAGCTCTCCAGTCCCCATTCATTGTAGAAGGGTGCTGAACATGCACAAGCCTTTCACTGTTTTCTAGAACTTCTACCCACTGAGTGCATGTAATGGGGTTCTTTCAGGCTCCTGGACTGCCAAGAAAGCCTGTTTCCTATAAAAAGGAGTTGCTAGGGGAAAATGCCCAGGAAACCACTGACACCCTCAGAGAGGTAAACAGTCAGTGATGTCTGCGGGTTTCCACATTTCTCTGCAACAGAGTCCGTGTGCTAAAGAGAAGACTGTCACATGTACCCTCAGAAAGGGACAATGTGACAAGCATGGGACCTGCCTAAGCCATCTTTAGAGTCCCTGACACGGTGCAAACGACGGATGCTCTCAGCTACTAACTGAAAGGTTGGAGGTTCGAGTCCATCCAGAGGCATTTCGGGAAAAAAAAAAATCCTGGTAATGTACTTCCTATAGGTCACAGTCATTGAAAACCGTACAGAGCGCAGGTCTGCTCCAGGGCCAGCTGAAGCAGGATAACTCAGCGACAACAGGGCAGTCATCCTCACTGGAGGGTCTGCACCTGGGATTATCTGTACTATAAAGGGGGAATATCCTTCCGCCTCCGTTACCCATCACCCTGAGGTGGTATTAGAGAAACCGCCCGGCTGGAGTAATGCCCGATGCCGGGCTTCTGAAAGAAAACTGGGAATTACCTTACCTTGGGTCCAATGGTTCCGATGGGTCCCCGGTCTCCCCTCTGTCCAGAGCACTTGCAGGGGACTCCACAGCAAGATTTCTCAGCAATGTTGTCCTAGCAAAATAACAAACAAAAAGTTACAGGCTCAGAAAATGCCTGGAAAGAAGCATGAAGACACTGTGCAAGTCGGAATCTGATACAAGTGACTTCTCACAGTGAGGGAGGGGCTCACTTCCCACGGCATGAGCTCAGGACTGGCTCAGTCCAAGAAGGGCTCCCTCACCCTCTTGGCAGTCATGGCGGGGATGGTGGAGTTGGGGAATCAGGGTGTCACTAACGGATGACTGAAGAGCAGCCAGAGTAAAAGAACTTATGTTCACATTGTTAGGTTGGACCTTCTTCCTAGAAGTTTCCAGCACAGATATGCATGTTTCGAATGTTATTTCTTATGCACATATTTTTAAATAACAAACAGCCATACCTGACAAATTGCAAATGGCCAGGTCTGAATGTGGTTCTAAAATACAGATGCATGGCATCTCCTGTCTCTGAACTACACTACAGAATAGGATGCCAGCCTCCAGAACAGCGTGGGTGGGGTTGGGGGTGGGGAACAAGAGTGGTCTTTACCTCTTAGTCCCATACACCCACTCCCAGTCACCAGAGCCTCTAACACCCATCCAACACTCAACATTCCCATCCCAGTCTAGCCAGTAGAAAAGTGCACACTCCAAGCATATTTGCAAACTGTAAAGTCATTTGAACTGCAAGGTTCAAGCTCACCATCTGCTCCTTGTAAACCCTATACAGGGTTGTTATGGGTCGGAATCGACTCAACGGCCCTTAACAACCACCTAGGTCCACCACCCATCCGTCAGTGTGTTCTACCAAGGGGGCTTGTACGTTCTATGATGTTACAAGCTTTGGTGCCAGTATTTCAAATAGCAGCAGGGTTAGTCACGGTAGACAGGTTTCAGTGGAGCTCCCAAACTAAGACAGACTAGGAAGAAATCGATTAGCAATCTTTTTCTGAATAATAGCCACTGAAAATGCAAGCCTCACCCCAGAGTAATGTCTGATACAGTACTGGAAGATGAGCCCCCTAGGTTGGCAGACAATCAACAGTGTGTTCAACCATACCAAACATCATCAAAATGATGCAGGATTGGCCAACATTTTGTTCTGTTTTACATGGGGTCACCATGATTTGTAATCAACTCAACATCAAGCAACTAGAAACCAGTAGTAGTCACATGCTTTCTCTTGCAATGAACTTCCTAAAGCTTTCATTTTCTCCTATATCTCACTCATATTATTCATCTAGTCACCTCTTTCAGTCCATCCTACTCAGAGTGGAGTCCACTTCTATCACCACTAAAGACTCTTCAAATCCAAGGCTCAGCCTCACATCTTCCCAATATCCATCCCTCACTTCCAAAGCCCTGGGTTCTACCAAGTCCTTGTCCACCCACAAGAGTTAGTACCTCTGACTCAGTGAAGACCAGGAAGCTAAAGGAAATGAAAGGAGAAGGCCATACAAGTCCTTCTCCACTCAGAAGGGACCGTACTTTGCCTGGACATTGTGTTTTCAGCACAGACGTGTTCAGGTGCTGTGAACACTGCTTCCTGCTTGGGGATGATCAATGATAATGTTTTACATGCCCAGAAATGTTATGAACCAAAAGTTATTAAAAGAGCAGCTACTCCAGAGAGTATGGGAAGCCCTAGAGACCTGTTCTCCAGTGATCCAATACCTCCACACCCAGAACTCTCACTACGGTATGGCAATAAGACAGGTCCCTAGTGAATTGGGTGTATTTGACTGGTACAACAAAGAGCCCTGGAGGCAGTGTGTCTTAAGCACTCTGCTGCTAAGCACAAGGTCAGTGGTTCAAATCCATGAGTTGTTCTGTGGGAGACAGATGTGACAGTCTGCTTGTATAAAGATGACAGCCTTGTACACCTTATGGAGAAGTTCCACTCTACCCTACAAGGTCTCTGAGTTGGAATCCTTTAGAGAGCAGCGAGTTTGGGTTTGGTTTTGGTTAGTACAAAGTGTTATCACACTCAGTTGACATTTGAAAGGTTAGCGATTTGAGTCCACCCAGAGGCTCTTCAGAAGGTAAGACCTAGAGATGTACTTCCCTAAAATCAGTCACTGAAAATCCAACGGAGCCGAGTTCTACTCTGACACACGTGGGGTTGCTATAGTAAGAGTCAACTCAGAGACAACTGGTTCAAGCAACTTAAGTGAGCCAAGCCACCCACCACACCCATTCACCTCGTGAGAACTGGGAGGGATGGGAGAAATTATCTTGTTCAAACTCCTCATTTTACAGTGGAGGAAACTGGGGTTCAAAGTCAAGTAGAGCTTCTCCCATCTTCATAGTTCTTCCATGTTGTGGAATTTATGAGATATAAAACACACAGTTGGTCTAGTGCCTACGTGGTAGCTGACTTGACTATCTTGAGAGGTCAACCTCAGCGGCATGTAAACTTAGTTTGTGTGCAATGACCCAGAAGACTTACAAGTTGTTCAGCGAGTTCGTGATCCAAATCCAGGAGGTTCAGCCTCAGGGGCCTGTTGTACATGAACCCTCGCCCGAACTCCAGCTGCATCAGTCTCTCCAGGTTGGCCACCCGCTCAAGGCCCACAAAGATGAGAGCTTGGACACCTACCGGGAAAAGCGTGTTTAACAAGGATCAACCAGGCAGCACCTTCATACCTGACTTTCTTTTATCTCTTTCTCTATTTTAGAAAGGAGTGGCACTGTAAGATAAGTACTGGACTGCGAACCACAAGGTCAGCAGTTCCAGTCCACCAGCGGCTCCTCAGAAACCCTATATAATACAAGGTCTCTACGAGACGGAGTCGACTCGATGGCACTTAACAATAACAATTTAATAATTTGGTCTTTAACGCAAACATCTCTTTTAAGAGTTGAACTATAGAAAATTTGCATGCAACTGGGTAATCAATCGGTTCAGCCATGCCCCAAACTAAAGATATTGTTATATATACCTGGTAAGAAGTAAACTATGAGGGGCTCCAAAAAGTTTGTTCAAAAATTCCATTCTCTTTCAGTTCCACTTTCCCACAAACTTTAGATGCTGCCTCATATTTTACCCCCAAAGTAATAGTCTGATCCCCATTGTACAGGGAAAGCGGAAGTAATAAACAGACATCACTTACACCAAGTGATGTCTCCACATGGTCTTAAACCTTTGGTGTTGTTCAGCATTTTTTTTTTTTTTGATAGTCAAAGCTACCATACTCCAAATTTAATAAGCAGTCAGACATTGCATGTGATGAGTTCACCTTATCATTGATAAGTATGCTTGTATCTATTTTATATTATTTAAGTGCATTTTTATATTAAGTGGTGCCATGTATGTGAGTGGAATAACTGCAAACAAAAAATGCATCTGTATTTTGTGCTTGCAAAACAATCCCTGGCTTATATCCCAAAACTAAGTGAATGAAGTCTTCTTGTTGTACAACGAGCATCATGCTTTCCAGACTCTTAAGTGTGTCTGAGAGTCTGTGAGGCTCATACCAGGATTTGTAATGTTGTTGTAGTTAGGTGCCATTGAGTCAGTTATGACTCATAGCGACCCTAGGTACAACAGAACATAACACAGCCTGGTTCTGTGCCTTCTCACAATTGTTGTACGCTTGAGCCCATTGCTGCTGCCACTGTGCCAATCCATTTTGTTGGGGGGGAGACTCTCTTTTTTGCTGACCCTCTACTTTATCAAGCATTTGCAATACCAAGGATTTGTAATAAAACAATTCTATATCCATAAGCAACCCTTGTTAGCCCCTTTCCACTGCCCCACACGGGCAATGAAGGACCAAGTCTTTGCAGATGCTGGACCCTCCAGGATACTGTTCGCGGCAGGTCAGCGCACACACGCCTGCCTCACCCAGGTTGCCTCTCATGTGTAGAACACCATCAAACATACCATCTTCCCGGAGTTCCTCAGATGCTCTTTGTAAAGCATTCAGATCTCCATCCACCCCATCAGTAAAATGAATCACCACCTGGAAAAGACAAAATGTCAAGTGGGGAACCGGCATCAGAGATGAGCACGAGGAAACAAAGATTATCTAGTTCTAACTGCGGAAACTGAGAGCCAAGCTCAAGGAATGATTTTCCCATGCTTGCAGCTCTTTGAGATTGTGGACTAAACGAGATGTAAAATAACTATGTGCTATAAAAACACAAAACCAACAATGACAATAAAAACAGTTCCTCTCATTCTAATTTATCCTACGCTAGAGTCTGGGAATCACATATATGAGTATGCGTGTGGGCACATGTATACATATATATACATGCATATACGAGTATGGAGTCCTGGTGTGGTTCTGTGGGTTAATGCACTAGACTGCAAAGTTGGTTTGAATCACAAAGTTGGTGGTTCAAGCTCACCAGCTGCCCCTTGGAAACCCTATACAGTGTCACTATGGGTCGGAACTGACTCAACAGCACTTAACAACAATAATATACACGTATATACACATGTAATATGTATGTGTGCGTATTTATATATTGGAACCCTGGTGGCACTGTAGGATAAGCACCAGACTGATAACCACAAGGTTGGCAGTTCAAACCTACCAAGTGTTCTGCTGAACAAAGAGGAGGGTTTCTGCTCCCATTAAGATTTACAGCCTTGGCAATTCACTCAATGACAGTGGGTTTGGATATTTATAGATATGGGATTCCTGGGGTGGTGCTGTAAGACCAACACTGGACTGTGAACCACAAGGTCTGAAGTTCAAACCCACCAGTCGATCCTTGGAAACCCTAAACAGGATTGCTATGCGTTGGAACAGACTTGATGGCACTTACAACACAACAATAGCATAGAATGGCACTACCGGATGAGTACTGTACTCTTCCTCAAGGTAGACAGTTCGAACCCACCAGCCACTCCTTGGAAAACTTATATAGCATCATTGAGTCATTTCTGACATTTAACAATAAGATATCCACAGGCCTCCTGATGTGGCACTGTAGCATTAGCACTGGACTGCGAACCACAAGGTCAGCAGTTCAAAGCCATCAGCTGCTCCTCAGAAATCCTATACAGGGTCTCTATGAGTCGGAACCAACTCGGTGGCACTCAACAACAAGTGCAGATATGGACTCCTGGTGTGGTGTTGTAGTATCTGGACAGCAAACCAAAAGGTCAGTGGTTCAAACCCACTAGCTGCTCCTATACAGGCTTGCTATGAGTCTGAACTGACTCAATGGCACTTCACAACAACAACAATAGAGAGATAAGACTTCTGGTGGCACAGTGCTTAGAGCGCCTGGCTGCTAACCCAAAGGTCAGCGGTTTGAACCCTCCAGATACTCCACAGGAGAAACATGTGACTGTCTGCTTTTGTAAAGATTGAAAACCACTGACACTCCATGGGACAGTTCGACTCTGTCCCATCCCATACGGTCACCATGAGCCAGAATCAACTTGGGGATAAAAATAAGGAGAGAACATAGACCATTTAATGATCAGGACTATCAATAAATGTGAATTTGCCACCCATTCAACTCCATCAAGCTCAATTACTGAGTCTTAGGATTTTTTTCTCAAAGACTTTAAACTAGTAAAAATTAGGACGATAATTACATTACAAGCTCTGAAGGTTAGTTAATAAGTAAAGGATTTCTGTGTATACATATTACCAACCTGGTCTGTCAAAAAGTGAATGACTGTTATTTGGGAGAGGGGCTTCCAGACACACAGGATGTGTCTAAACAAGGGCAGCTCCCACTCACCTTCACACTATTCGGTGAGGACATCCTGAACTTATTCTGATAGACCTTCAGTGTGTCTGCAGTGAGGACATAGGGGTGCTGGCTACGCATGTTCCGGAACTTCTCAAACAGCTCGGGTTTGTACTCATCAAAGGCAAAGGCCTCCACTGGCCCCGAAGGAGTGTTGGCCACCACAGACACACGAACAGTAGGTGACTGGCTGCCGGTACAGCTGATCCTTTGCATCTGGCTGATTCTATTCAAGATGTCCTCCACCTTGGATTCAAGTCCCTTCTGCGTCACAAATACATTCTGATCACTTGAGCCATCGAAGCCCAGAATCACATCCACATTGCAGGCTGAAAGGGAGGAACACAAGCGATGAGCTCCAAGTTGAAGCTGTAGAGACAAGTCCTACTTAATAGCCAGGGTGGACACACATTGACGATGGGCCAGGGAATGGTGTTCATGGTTAAAGTGGGGTCTTCTACATCTGAACTTTGAGAAGCAATTAGATCTGCTTCTCTCATGGAGAAAAGTGATGCCAATTATTAGGGGGGAAAAGCCATAGGCCATTTTGATACTTATTTACTTATTTGCTTTAGGTGATTTTAATCATTGTTGGCCTGATAAATCTTCAACAGGTCTTTAGATGCAACCCAATTTGTGATTAAAATTAAACACAATTGAGAACTCAAATACTCTGATCTCAAGCAATTAATCTAATAAACTTATAAATGGAAGTAGGGGTCGAGAAGTCTAAATCATTTCTGGGATTAAAGAATAGGATAAGAAGAGTAAATCTTGTAAGGATAAGAAAAGATAGACTTCCATTATTAACTGGAAGAATGTACTACAATGGTGTCTGGGTGACCACTAGTATCAACCAACTTAGGTCTCGATATGAGCAAATGTCTGAAGCAACCAATTTTTTATGGAATCCATTGGATATAATAACCTTGATGTGGCACTGTAGGATAAGCACAGGACCACAAAGTTGGCTTGAACCACAGGTCAGTGGTTCAAACTCACCAGTCGCTATATTGGGTCACTATGAGCCAGATCTGACTCAACAGCACTTAATAACAAAAACAAGAATAATTAAATGCCTTACAAATATGAAAGTGCCACAAAGGCTAGACATACACCCTAAATGAATGCCCTGAGATCACTTTCAAACCTTATATCTGAAACCAAACGTTTCCCCGGAAGTCTGCTTTGAACCATCCAGCCGCTCAGCATGTTTAGTAGAGTATATCTGCTCTAACCTTTGAACTCTTCCAAGATTTCTCTACATGGGCTCAAATTGGCAAGAACAACTTGAAAGTTTAGAGGAGCAAGATCAGAGCATCTATGTGCATGATGATGAAGTAAATCGGCTAAAAAGACAGCAAGAATCCTTGCCCAGCTTGAAGAATATAAACAATGTCACTGAATTGTACATTCAGTATTTCTTGAAATGATGTATCCTTGGTTGAATATCTGTCACCAAAAAATGAATAAACATTTGGACTCAAGTTTTGAAGGTATGTAAGAGGACCTACCTTTGGAGACATCAGTCACACCAGGACATAAGGTTTCATGCATCGCATCATGCAAGGTTTCCAGAACTTGCTCGCTCAGCTCTGACAGTTCCTGCACATTCCCTACTCGGAAGGCGGTGGCACTGTTGGATGCTATCTTCCCAACCTCCTCTGTGTCAATGTTCCTCACGCCCACCGCAAACACCTTGACGCCACTCTGGGTGAGTGCCAGGCTAGCTTCCTGAGCATCCTCCACTGACTTCCCTCCCGTGATCACAAATGCAATCTGTGGGACCCTCTGATCCAGGCGACTGCCTGCATCAGGCACGAAGTGGTTCAACCGCAGGTGCTCGATGCCCACCTTGGTATTGGCATGCCGCCCCCCTTTATAGACCACTTTGTTGATGGCATCGATAATCTGCTTCTTGGTGGAAAAGTCCTTCAGATAGAACTCATCTGTGGGGTCAGAATTGTACTGGACCAGCCCCACCTGGATGGAGTCACCCATTTCATAAACTGTGTCCACAATTTCAGACACAAAACGGAGCACTTCCTGGAAACTGTCTCTCCGGAAATTGATGGAACCGTCCAACAAGAATACGATGTCTGCTTTCTTTTTCTCTAAACACGATCAAAATAGAAATGTGGTTTCCATATCAGAACATGAATACACAAGAGGTGAAATAAAATTAAAAAAAAAAAAAAATGAGGCATTCGGCATTCTTAACAAGTTACTGGCATGAAAACCTTAATTCTATCCTATGTTATTTCTAATACTTGAATCCACATCCATTATTGAAAAGCTCTATAAAGGTGCACTGAAGGTTAATCAAAGAATCATTAATCAGCTTTTTATATGGGTCAAAACCTTTGAAGTCAGCTACCTCATGCCCTAATGAGAATGAACGGAAGGTTAACCTGTGCCCAAAATACTATGTTAAAGCCAAGAATGTAGATGTGATGGATTGAATTGAATTGTGTTCCCAAAAATATGTGTAAACTTGGCTAGGCATAATTCTTAGTGGTTTGGTAGTTATGTACTGATGCAATTTGGCAGGTATGCAATGATGTAATCATTCCTCCTGATGTGATCTGATGTAAATAGACAACCAGCTGTACGGGGATTTGGGTGGGATACAACACCCTTATTAGGTCACAGCCATGATCTGATGTAAGGGTAGTTTCCCTCAGGTATGACCTGTTATTGTTAGGTGCCATTGAGTCGGTATCGACTCACAGAGACCCTATGCACAATAGAATGAAACACTGCCCGGTCCTGGGCCAACCTCACAATCATTGCTACATCTGAATCCATCACTGCTGCCACTTTGCCAATCCATTTCGTTGGGGGTCTTCATCTTTTTCTCTGACCCTCCACTTTACCAAACATGATATCCTTCTCTAAGGACTGGTCCCTACTGACAATATGTCTGAAGTATGAAAGACAAAGTTTGGCCATCCTGGCTTCCACGGAGCACTCTAGCTGTACTTCTTCCAACAAAGATTTGTTTGTTCTCTTGGCAGTTCGTGGTACTTTTCATATTCTCCTCCAACACCATAACTAAAATACATCAATTATTCTCCTGTCTTCCTTATTCACTGTCCCAACTTTTGCATGCATATAAGGTTATTGAAAATACTATGGCTTGGGTCAGGTACACCTTAGTCCCTCAAATGACATCTTCAATACTTTTAAAAGGCCTTGTGTAGTGGCTGATTTGCCCCATGCAATACATCATTTGATGTCTTGACTGCTGCTTCTGTGAGTGTTGATGGTTGATCTGAGTAAAATGAAGTCTTTGACAACTTCAATCATTTCTCTTTTGATAAAGATGTTGTTTACTGATCCAGTGGTGAGGATTTTGGTTTTCTTTACATTGAGATGCAACTCATACTCAAGGCTATAGTCTTTGATCGTCATCAGTAAGTATTTTAAGTCCTCTTTGCTTTCAGAAGCTAGGTTGTGTCATCTGAATATCACAGGTTGTTACTGAGTCTTCCTTCGATCCTGATGCCATGTTTTTCTTCATATAATCCAGCTTCTTGGATTATTTGCTCAGCATACAGAGTGAAGAAGTATAGTGAAAGACCACAGCCCTGGTGCAGGTATGACCTGCATCACCTTTAATCTTACAAAAGCTAAAAAGAGAAGCAAACAGGGAAGGAAGAACTGGACTACCCCCAAGAAAGAATTGTTGGAAGTGGCATCTGTCTTTTGGACCCAAGGTCCCTGTGCTGAGAACCTCCTAGACCCAGGAGAAGATCAATGACAAGATACATGGAGACCTTCAAGGGACACTGGGTGCACAGATGTTGAAAGGAAACAAAGACCTTCCCCGAGAGCTAGCACTCTGTATTTGTACTTCTACCTTCCTAAACCATGAGAAAATAAAGTTCCTTTCCCTCAAGACGCCCACTTGTTGGTATTTCTGTCATAACAACACTAGATAACTAAAACAGTAAATGCTAATTCATCTGAACAAAAAGGGAAGGAGACATGAGAACTCAGTGGCAATGAGTCCAGTTATTCCAGACAGAGTGGCAGTCCTCCAGAAAGTCAATGGTTCATGATCTCGAGTGTTTCAGGGAATATCATTATGCTCTTCCCTTCTGGCCATATATAAATGGTGGTTTCCAACCAGAGCAAGAGGAGAGGTGCTAAAGGCAGGATGTGAAAGGGCTGGAACAAAGCATGTGGGAAATTCCCAGAGAATCTTTGGAGGAATGAGTGTCATCATGTTGAAAACTTTCTAGAAATGAATGGCCTTGGGGACTAATTTCCCAATTATCATGTAATTGAAGTTGGCACCGAGAGAAGGGTAGATCAGGAGGTGGAGAGAGAGAGGTCAAAACTGCTATGGAGTGAGGTGGTTGAAAAGGCTAAACAGGAAACCAGAGTGCAGCTTCTCCCTGAGAAACCAGACCTGGTCATGTGTTTTGGATGTTGAAAGGCCATCAACTAGACGACTGTCAAGAGATGTGGAATTGAGGAGGAATTCCATTTGCTCTTGGCAGCCTCAAAAGTTACAACCAGGAATGTGAAGTAGAGACTTCGGTGGACTTGCCACCAGGGGAGCTCCTTCCTGATGATCAGACCTGACCAAGAAGGATGGCTACCCATCCACAGTGGGTGTCCTACCATTGGGCATGGGATAACCACAAGGTCATGCTCAACATGGTATAAGGTGATGACTTCAAAGATTCCATCCAATCCTAAACTACGGTGAGTCTGTAATTAACCCTCAATGCACCTCTATAGAGCTTTTCAGTAAGGCAGTAATTAACCTCAGGAATGATAAGAGAATCAGTGACCAGCCATTTGTGGGGTATATTTCCTTCTACAATTCCAACTGGATTATATTTCCAATATTTGCAGAAACAACTCCGAGAGAAGACAAATATTAAAATGAAGGGTAACTATTTCCATTTATGATCTAAATTCAAGTGTCCATTGAATTAATCTCTGATCTACATTTTAATTTACTTTAATGAATATTTCATTGAAAAATCATCATTTCAATTTTCCTGAACACTGGATAGTGACATTCTGTTATCACAAGCCACAGAGCTCATACCTGGTGGTGAGGGGGCAGGTACATCCACACCCGGAGGTTCAGGGGTGGCCCCAGAGGGTCCAAATGAATTTATGATTCGGGATTCTATGTTGGGAAGCTCTCTGAATTCTCGCACGGTGAAGATCATTCTGGGGTCTTTGGTGATGGTCTGCAACTCTGTTCTGTCAATGTTGGGGACTCCCACTCCTAAGGTCACAATTCCTGAGGAGCTGATCACCTGTGAAAACCTGGAGACATCGTCTTGGGATTTTCCACCAAGAAACAGGACAAGGTGTTGGGGCACTCCATCTTCTATCCTGCTTCCAGCGGACTTCACAAAGAGATTTCTGGCCACAAATTCCAGGGCTTTGCCAGTGTTCAGCGGAGAACCCCCTCGGAACCTCAGGCGGCGCACAGCATCGAGCACTGATGCCTGGGATTTATGCGTCTTCAAGTAGAATTCAGGGAAGACGTCATTGCTGAACTGCACCAGCCCAATTCTCACTTTACTGGGGCCAATGTTGAGTCTTCGAACAATCCTGCCAACAAAATCTCTAATGTGTGCTAAGCCATCACTCTTCACACCTTCAGAACTATCAATTAGAAAGACAATGTCTGCCGCATCACTCTCAACAGCTGAGAAGAGAAGAGAAAGTAAAAGAGGAAAGTTCAGTACACGACTAGACATCATTTGGCTTCGCTTCTGCCCATGGCGTTATTTTCAGAACACTGCAGTATACTGCACCACAACATCCATAAACATTAAACTTATGTCTTGATACGTGGCACTGCAGGATAAACACTGGACCCAAAGCTCGATTTAAATGAAGAGGTTGGAGGTTCAAACCTACCAGCTGCTCCTGGTGGCTGAGTCAGAACCGACTCCAAGGCACTTAATAAGAATAACAACACGCATGTATTATTTATCTCTTGGTATTTAAAAAATTAATCATTAAAAATTAGGGCTTTTTCACCAACACAATTTCCATGTTCTGAAATAGTTTAAGATCTCCAGAACTTTCTCTTTCTCAGTTCATGCTATTTTAATTTTGACTTGTGGTCTGAGTTACTGCTAATTTTGAACAATTAAACAGTATTTAGAAGCAAATCCCATATTACAATGATCTACAGAACCATGAGCAGTTACTACATGAAAAGATTAAGGCCCTTTGCACCAACATCTTTGTTCTACACAAAACAGAGAGAGGCAAATCTAAGTGATTTGTCTAAGACTCTGGGAGCGTAGTGGTTACGAATCGGGCTGCGAGCCCCAAGGTCATCAGTTTGAAACTACCAGCTGTTTCGTGGGAGAAAGATGAGGCTTTCTGCTCCCGTAAAGATTTACAGCCTTAGAAACCCTGTACAGGGTCGTTATGAGTCAGAACCAACTCCACGGCACATAACTACCACCATCACTTGACTGGTTACACCTGACTGTCCAGCTTCTGACCTGACCTGCAATGACATCTGTCCAGCTGTCACTACCACCCTGCCCCAACCCATCAGAGCAGGGTCCTCAGAGTACAATGTACACACACCAAGGCCGAGGAAATCGTCCCAGATGTCCACTTCACAAAATTCCTTCACGGTCACTTATTAATAGTGTTCATACAAAGTTTTTTTTTATTTTTTCTTTATCATTTCCCCCATTTTCATTACCTGAATCAATTTTTGACTACACAATTAATCCTAAAGTCCTAGAAAAATTTAGGATTCGAGGTACTTCTTGGACACCGTTTTATGGGACTACTCTTACGCTGCTACTCGACAAGTTCCAGCCTGTCTTTTGCCTCCTAAATCAGTGAATTATTTACAGGAAAAATGCAGCCCAGCTGGCCATGTCACTGAGAATGAGAAAAGCAGCCTTGGACATCACAGAGTGGGCCTGGTACATCCAACCAGACATCAGGACTCTCCTTCTTAATCTAAACTCCATCACATCAACATCAGATATGACCATGATGCACCAAGACACAAACTAGACCACTCTACAATCCTGTCTGAACACAGACCGAAAGAGCATTGTCCAAACCACAAAAATAACTACACACCACCCCTACCTCTAGCACATAGAACAGTCAGAGCTTGACCCTTGCTCTACACTTCCCTCCGTCTAGATAAGGAGTACTGGTGTGGAACTGCGGGCTAATTCACTAGTGGGTTTCAGCCACTCCTCAGACACTCTATACAGGGTTGCTATAGGTCAGAACTGACTCTACGGCGCTTAACAACAACACATCTGTTTCATAAGATAACAGATCATAGAATTGTCTCTTGCTCTTGACAACCTCCAATTCCTTAAACCCTCCCCCCAAATCACCTTCGACAAGCTCCAAGCCTATTTTCAGTCCTTTCTAACGTTCTCTTATCTTCTTCATCCCAACCTGTTCAACCACTGGTATGCCCTAATAGTTTTGGCAGGAGGGTGTTGACCACATAAAGGGCAAAGAGCATCACCTAATGATCCTTTTATCTTAATTTAGTTTATCATGGTTACCATAGTCCTTGAAACTGTTCTTTCTTTCTTTTTTTTTTTAAAAAAGATTTTATTGTGAATTGATTGATAGTTTACATGGGGGAACATTGGTTTTATGCTCATCTTATTGTATTTGCTTCATTGCAATGATGACAATCCCCTCCATACATCATCATTTCATAGTATTTGCTTCTATTCCCTCTGTTTTTTGTTGTTGTTGTTTTTTGAATGTACACAAAAACACTGAGGAATATATAATCATTTAGACAATCAAAGTGTGCATTCTTCAACCCTGCCTCCTGGCCACCAGCACACAGCCTTTCTCTTTCTGTGAGTCTTGAGTTGTCAGCTGCTCTATTTCTCCATGTCCTCATCTCTGCCTCCATCTCTGGTGTTGCTGTTTCTCTGGATAAGGTCCCACATTCTGCTCATGCTGTTCCCCCTTGATGGTCCTAGGGTCCTCTGTTCCTGGACTGTAAGATTAACTACTCTCCCATTTTGGTTACAAAACTTCTACCTGTTTTATCACATGAAAAATTGTGATCATTACAATCAGTCATGATAGAAACTGATACTTCTTCTATCAGAAGCACTCAGAGAAACGAGCAAATCTCACCTGGGGAAGGATAACGTGTACTGGCCAGGATGCGTTGAATTTGCTCCGAGGTTAGAGTGGTGATGGGAGTCAGCAGCTTCTGCTCCAGGCTGGGCAGCTCCCTGAAGGTGTTCACAGAGAACACATACTCGGGGCTAAGAGAGATCTTAACCAGCTCCTCCTGGTCGGCATGCCTGGCGATCGTCAAAGGCGCCACCCCAAACTGTTTGATCTCTGCGGCCGAGTCATCTACCTCATCGTCAGACTTCCTGGATGAGATGAGCACCAAGAACTGTGGGACACCCTCTTCAATGCGGCTTCCCAGCGGCCTCTTGAAGATGTTCTTTGCCACGTATTCCAGGGCCCCCCCAATGTTGATCTGCCTGCCTCCCTTAGGCCTCAGCCTCCTCACGGCATTCTGCAACTCATCCTTGCTGGAGTGGGCATTCAGCAGAAATTCCACCTTGGGGTCCTCGCTGAACTGGATAACTGCAACCCGGGTGGTGTCAAAGCCCACATCCAGGTAACCAACCAGGTTTTCGATGAGTGTGCGGATGTACCGAAATTCAGGTTCAGCCCCTTGGGACCCATCGATGAGGAAGACCACATCTTTCTTGCTGCCAAAACCTGTGAATCAAACATATCATGGATTTCATCTTCATTGGCACAAAATTCTGAGCATTCATGGGCCACATACACGTTGAGCATGTGTGACAGGCAAGGGGTCGTAATAGCAACTACTCTATGTAAAGTGCCTGTTGATGGAGTGAAAGCAGAGGGATCCCCTGGAAATAAGCCAATGGTCAGACTCCATTCCTGCTTACAGAGGCTGATGGCTAGATCTACCAGGGGGAAATTGGAATCTGTATGGTATGAACTCTCCCTTCTGACATCTGTATACAACACTTTATGTACAGTTGTTGTTGTTAAGTGCTGTTGAGTCAGTTCTGACTCATAGTGACCCTGTATAGGATTTCCAGAGAGAAGCTGGTGGGTTTGAACTGCCGACCTTGTGGTTCCCAGTCCAGTGCTGATCCTACAGTGCCACACCAGGAGTCTTATGTAGAGTTAGGAAGTCAGAATTATGAATCAAGTTTATGTTCCCCTTTAGTTCTGGTGTGACAATGTATATAGTAAGTACTGTACTACTAACTGAAAGGTTGGCAGCTCAAACCCATAAGCCACTCTTGGAAACCTATACAGGATTGCTGAGTCAGAACTGAATCAATGTCATGCAACAAAAACACTGTATGTTCCCCTTCGAAATTTTACTTTGGCTAAGCAAACAAATCTTAACCTTGCTCCAATAAACCAACGAAGACTTTGTTGTTTGATGCCCTCAAGTTGACCAATCCCACACCACTGTTATTTGAGGTCACTGTTGTAATCTCTGTTTCCTAGACACATGGCTCCTAATTTTTCTATGCTTGGGCAGAGACAACAAAATTGAGAACCCTTTAAAACCCACCAACCAAACAAGTAGACTCAGATGATAACTAGGACCAAAGAAACAAAGTGTTGCATCCTTACCTGGACTTGTTGGGGGAAGGATGGCTTGCAGCCTCTTCAGCTCCTCACGATTGAGCTGGGTCACTCTTTCAGAGATGACCTGGTGGACAGTCCCCAGATTCCGGAAGGTGGGGATGGTCACTGCAAAGTCCGGGATGAAGGAGATGGTCTGCATCTCTGAGATGTCAGCATTCCCTATGCCGATGCCAATGGGCACTGCCCCTCCCCTCTTGAGAACCACCGAAGGACCCTGCACATCATCCCCAGACTTGTCAGCTGTGAGGACTATCAAAAGCTGGGGGACGCCTTCTGCGATCCTACTGCCCACAGAGCTAACGAGGATATTCCTGAGGACAAAATCCAGGGCAGCCCCGGTATTGGGAGCCCGCCCACCGAGCAGGGTCAGCCTGCGGATGGCATTGATGACACCCTGCTGGTCCGTGTATGAATTCAGGTAGAACTCAGGCCTGGTCCTGTCGCTGTACTGCACCACGGCCACACGAACCCGGTCCTGGCCCACGTCTAGGCTCTCCACCAGTCTCTGGACAAACTCTTTCAGCAGGGAGAAGCCATTCCTGACGCTGTCAGAGCCATCGAGCAGGAAGACCACGTCCTTTTCAGCTGAAACTGAGACAAAGACCCGGGTGACTCCCACAGGACAGAAGAAAGACAACGTCATAGCAAATGTAGTGGGCTGAATAATGACCCCAGAGCTGGTGAAATGTCCAATGACAGGGTCAAAGCGAGGCTGTGCAATCAGTGATGCAATTAGTGACGGATCTTTAGAGGACATGGGAGAGTGTCCTGAGTCCTGGACTACCTGAGTGGACCAAGTGTCATCACAGGATCTTTGTAAGAGGAAGGCAGAGGGGTCAGAGTCCATGAAAGTGGCAAGGTGCAAGCAGAAGTCAGAAAGGTGTGAGGCTGGAGGAAGAGGCCACAAGCCAAGGACTGCAAGTGACCTCGAGAAGGCAAGGAAATGGTTGATCCCCTGTAGTGTTCAGAAAGTACACAGACTGTGGACACCTCGATTTTAGCCCAGTGAGACATGTTGGACCTCTGTCCTCCCAAACTGTAAATAATAAATTTGTGTTATAAACCTTCAAAAGTGCCTCAAGAAAAAAAAAAAAATGTTTTTGTTATTTTTTGACGGGGAGACATACTGGATGGCAGAGCCACGGTCATCCCATAGGTGGGAGACTGGAGTTTTGAGTGAATGAGTGGGAAAGATCCAGTCCAGAACAAAGCAAGAGTGAGCATGCTCAGCAGCCCATGTGATTGGTCCATTCTGAGACAGCAAGGCTGACCCAGGTCCTGGTAATAAAAGGTTCACTTTAAAAAGGAGGATTTTTTTTTTAAATACCAATGTACCTAAGTCTTTATAGTGTGCCATGTTATAAAATAACCACCCTATTTCTTCTGTTTTGCACTAAGGATCAGCAAGAGTTAAAAATAATGACATTTGTTCAAAGCAACAACTACAACATTGTGATTGTGTCAATTCTGAACCACGGTGACCTCGTAGCTTACAGAGTAGACTACTCCAAGGGGTCTCCTTGGCTGTGATCTTTACGGAAACAGATCACCAGAGAGTACAGGAAAGCAAACAACGCTTAATCTATCGTGCCATTGCTCCTATAGAATCCACTTATTCAATTTCCCGCTCATGCAGAGGAGAACAGCGTTGTGAAAGCAGTCAGAATGTCTATGCCTATGCCATACCTGGTGCTGATGCCCCGTTTTGCACTGTCTTTAGAAGGTTCACAATCTGGGGTTGGAGCTCTCCAATTTTGGGGAGCGACTCGGCCGCCAGGATGAAGGCAGGGGATGGTACAATCTGCTCCAGCTCCGCAGGGTCTGCGTTCTTGGCTTGTAAAATGAAAGGTACCACGCTGCTCTGTTTCAGATCACTGGCGGACCTGTCCAGGCTGTCAGATGACCGTCCTGCCACCAAGAGCACCAGGAACTGAACCACTCCATCCTCGATCCGACTCCCGGCAGATTTCACAAAGATATGTCGCTGTGCATAGTCCAGGGCATAGCCCAAGTTGAGAGCTTTGCCAGTCTTGATCTTCATCCTCTTCACAAGGTTCAAGATCTCAGGCTTATTCTGGTGGTCACTGAAGCTGGACTCCACCTTTACGTCGTCGCTGTATTGAGCCACCGCCACCCGGGTCCCATCAGGTTTCACGTCAAGTTCATCAATGACTTTATGGAGGAAATCTCGGACAGCTGGGAACTGGCCCACAAGATTGGCTGAACCGTCAAAGAGAAACAGGATGTCTCGCTGCTTCCTCTCTACAACAAAAGTGGGTGAGGACACAGTGAGGGAGAGAGAGAGGAGCAGGCGCCAAGTGGACGTCAGCCCAGCATCACCAGCATCTAATAAGGGGTGTTTTAAAAAATTCATCCAGTGACCACTGTACCAGCAAGAGAAGAGAGAGCCACGCCCTGTCATCTGAAGGTCCTATCTCAAAGCAGTAAGAGGCCAAGATTAGTCTGTCTAATCTGGTACTGAATTTCTCCAACAAACTGAGCCAATGAAGGCAAACCACACGGCTCTGTTCTCATACTAGCTGGCAATACCACTAGGAGAGCAGGCTGCATTTTTAACTGTTACACATAAAACTACTGAAAATGTGGCCTTCGTTGTACTTAAGCAAAACTTTTGACCTCCTCTCTAGTGGTATGAGTCCTGGTGTGGCGCTGTGGGTTAATGTGCTGGACAGCAAAATCGGCTTGAACCACAAGGTTGGCAGTTCAAACTCTCCAGCTGCTCCTTGGAAATCCTACACAGGGTAGTCATGGGTCAGAAGCTACTCGATGGCACTTGACAACAACAACTCTAGTGATGAAAAACGACATGGGTTAAGCATCCAACCGTAGCTGGTCATGTTTCTGCTCTAATTGGATTACCTTGCCATCAAATGTGACTTGACACACAGCAACCCTGTATAGGGTTTCTAAGAGTGACTGGTGGGTTTGAACTGCCAACCTTGAGGTTACTAGTCCACCAGACTTTATAGATTATAACCCCAAATAGTGCCCCCCACAGCTCTGTGGCTAGTCCTCTCTGTGCTTAGCGCTCTGGGGGTGAAACCAGGGGACAGAAAGTGTACGCGATGGCCCCCCAGCGCAATCTACTGTTATCTCCAAGGGTTCTTGCAGCTCTGTGGTTAGGTCTCAGTCAGCTCAATCTGCTACTCAGCAGTGTGACATCGGGTTGCTAGACCCAAGCTTCATGTCTCTCTGCCCTGTTAATTTTGAAAGAATAAAACCATCTGGGGTTCTTTAGGAAACCCGTTTACTATGGCATCAAGGTACAGCCTCCGTTGGGCTTATACCAAATCATTCTCTAGATAAAGTGGAACTTGTTAAGTACAGTCGAGTCGATTCCGACCCATAGCGACTCTGTCTAGGGTTTCCGAGAAGCAGCTGGTGAGCTTGAACTGCCGATCTCGCAGTTCAAACGGCTTTGCAGTCTGGTGCGTTAACCCACAGCGCCACACCAGGACTCCATATAAATAAATGGCCCCAATGTATACTCAGGCATGAAAGGGAAACTCTCTCTTTCTCATTTCCATCATATTCATGTGGATTTGAACTCCAGAATCTTCACAGGGCTTTGGAAGGAAAAAAGTCAATCAACCAGTGTTTCTGTGTTTACTGTGAGGCCACAGAGCAGTCTAGCAGCTGCATGTGCCGTACTGGCAATGAACACCCGGAAGAGTGCTCTAAAGTCAGGGATCCAAAGATGGAGAATGTCACCTTGCTGGTACAGTATTTCTCACCCCCATTCAAAGTATTTACAACACTCTTGGGTTCCGCGGAGGTCACCAGGGCGAGGAGGGAGAGGGAGTGTGCGCGCGCAATGAGGTGGGTTTACCTGGCTGGCCGAGGGACACTTCCTCCACACCACCGCTAACATAGGTGGTGAGGGGCTGAATCAGCTGCTGAGGCAGAGCAGGCAGGGAGCTGAAATCATCCATGAGATACACCAGGCTGGGGTTAAAAGCAATGTGCTCAAGCTCGGCCTTATTCGCCTGGCTAGCGCCCACGCAAAAGGTCAGCACACCGTCGCGCGCAAGCGCATTGGCAGCTTGTAAATAGGCATCCTCGGACTGGCCAGCCGTGAGCAGGACCAGGAGCTGGGGGACGTGTTCCCGAATCCGGCTGCCGCCAGCTTCACTGAAGTGGTTGGCATGGACAAAGCTCAGGGCCGAACCTGTGCGCAGGCCCGAGCCCCCCTTGAACTGCAGCTGCCTCAGTCGGGCCAGCACATCTGACTTGGTCTGGTATGTGTCTAGGGAGAACTCCGTTACGGGGGTGTCACTAAATTGCACTAAACCAACGCGAATATTGTCCTGTCCCACGTCAAGGCTGTGAACTAGGTTGGCTACAAAGTCACGCACATAAGGGAAATTGGCTTTTCCAACGTTGAGCGATCCATCCAAAAGAAAGATGATATCTCTTTTGTTTACGCGAACTGCAGTGGAGCACAGAAAACAGGGTGAGACACACGTGACCACAGAGGGTCTCATCATGTGTGCGCACAACACGTGCACACATGCCAACACAGAGAACACAAGACAACCGGCTGGGTGGCAAAGCATGTCCTTCTCGTGAAATATGACAGGCGGCTGCATATTTTCCTCCAGTGGTGGCTGGTGTGGGTGAGGCGTGTTGGTGGCCAAGTTGGCTGCGCCGAAGTTCAAGTTTTTTGTAGCCAACCAAAATGATTGGCATCCCTTGGAGCAGAGCGTTCCCTCCTCTAGAAATGGTTTCTACCAGGGTGCTCATGAGTGTGACCATGGTCACTGCCAGGTGGGAATGCTCACAACTGGACCCAGCACCCTACCTAAAGCTATTTACCCCAAACCAAAAAACCAACTGCCTCAAGTTGATTCTAGTTCCTGGCAACCCCCATATGTGTCAGAGTAGAACTGTTTGTTCTAAGTAGGGTTTTCAGTGCTAATTTTTTGGAAGTAAATTAAATCATTAGGTCTTTCTCCCAAGGTGCCTCTGGGTTGACTCGAACTCCCAACCTTTCAGTTAGCAGCCAAGTACAGTAATAACCCTTTGCACCAACCAGGGACTCAGAGGTTGTTCCCAAGTCTCCCATTAAGGATAAAATAAATTTTAAAAGACTCTTCTCACCTTAAAGTATTCCTAGGAAGTCCCATTTGTCATTCTCTAATGGTATTCTTGCCCTATCAGGAGTCACAGCATTATAACCAAACAGGGCACCCATAGAAATTACCCAGGGTGTGATTATAATAAAAGAAATTGTTGGCTCTCTCTGGCTGAGATCATCCACAAGGGAAGTAGAATCCTCAGATTAGTGAGCTTCTCCCAACACACTTAGCATTTGCCCTTAAACAAAAAAGTATTACCCATTTCTTTCTTGATGTCTCCTTAAATATTTAGACCTCATAACTAACTGGATCTTATGTTCTATCAAGTTGAACTTTAGCTACAACGGTGAGTGTTAGGTGTTTGAAAGAAGAGGGAAAAATTAGAGTGATGTTGTAGAAAGTCCAGAAAGTCTCAAGAGAAAGCATGCAACCATGCAGAACAGCTCATGCTCAAACAAAATCCTACGGGAGCTTGTGAGGTGAAAAGGTTTGCTTCTACGATAGTCATCTTTATTAAGGACAGTGAATTTTACATCTTCAATTCACAAGCCCAGAGACCTTTATTTGTCTTAAAAACATTTCCTAATAAGCCTATCACATGAGGGGTTTGAAAACCACTAAGTTGTGGTCTTCACACCCATTCATTCAGTATGCTTTCTTATAGAATGAAATCTCTTGATGAGAGGAGAAGCTTCCAAGAGGACGTCCAGTCCTACCCTAGGTGGTTTAACCACTTAGAAGTAGAGTCAGGACAGGAAAGGGGGGCAGGTTAAATCTTGGTGGTACAGAGAAGGAAGGTGACCAGGAGTCACCAAAGAAATAAAACAATGGTGGGGACTGGCCAGGGACAGGAGCTAAAGTGACTACTTCAGTCCCATGCTTCAATAGTAGGTGGCCCCAGGCCCTATAGCCTAAGTCATATCATTCTTCCTGGAGCACATGGTAAGTCATCCAACTCCCAACTCAGGGAACCTGAAACATAACCTGTTGATTGTTTTGTGTTTATCATCTAACAACATGTGCCTGTATCAGTTGTTTGTTAGCAAATACAAATAAAACTTATTTTCTTTTTCTTCTTTAATCTCAAAGATTCCACTTGAAGACCACCCTATTGCATCGGATGCTCTCCCCTCCCACCGTACCTTCATTGGTTCCAGTGAGAGTCCTGAGGGGCGACAGCAAGTTGGGCAGAATGCCATGCAAAGGGGCAGCCTGGAATTCAGCAGGGACAAACACCAGGGACTTGTCGAAAGCGATCTCTTCCAACTCAGCTGGATCGGCAGCCTTGTTCCCGATGGCAAAGGACAAGATGTTGTTGGCCTTCAGCTCCTGGGCCTGCTGGCTAACCTCATCTAGGGACTTACCACCTGTGATCAGCACTAGGAGCTTAGGCACCCCCTCAGTGGCCCGGTAGCCAGTTGTACTAGTGAACAGGTTGTTGCGGACGAAGTCCAGCGCGGAGCCCGTGTACAGGGCCCGACCCTCCATGGGCTTCAGTTTCCGCACAGCGGTTATGACTTCCTTTTTGTTGGGGTAGCTATTGAAATAAAACTCAGGCCTTACAGTGTCTGCGTACTGAACCACTGCCACCTGGATAAGGTCCTGTCCAATCTCCAGCCTCTGGACGACCCTGACAATGAAGTCGCGGATTGCATTGAAGTTGGTCAGTCCCATTGCAGAGGAGCCATCTACGAGGAAGACTATGTCCCTCTTGTTGACTTCAGTGACTGCAGGTAGCAACATGAGACAATGAGAAGGAGGTTCTTACTGATCACGCTCAACAATGATGTTCTACTCTACCAGGAAGACTGTGTCCCCCTTGTTGACTTCAGTGACAACAAGCAGTACCATGAGACAATGAGGAGGGTCTTACCCATCACACTCAACAATGACATTCTACTCTACCAGGAAGACTGTGTCCACCTTGTTGACTTCAGTGACAACAAGCAGTACCATGAGACAATGAGGAGGGAGGGTCTTACCCATCATGCTCAACAATGATGTTCTACTCTACCAAGAAGACTGTGTTCGCCTTGTTGGCTTCAGTGACAGCATGTAGCAACAGGAGACAATGAAAAAGAGTGTCTATGTTCTACTCTACTAGGAAGACTGTGTCCCTCTTGTTGACCTCAGTGACAGCAGACAGCAACAAGACACAGTGAGAAAGGGGATCTTCCCAATCACACTCAACAATGTCTTTCTACAGAGTGAACTCCATTGAAGGGATGCTCCCATTACTCTGACCAATGTGAAGTCACTAGGTAGTAGTAAATTGTCATTACACCCTACACAGCAGGTTGGAGTCCACGCCTAGCCAGCCCATTCTTAGTGCTTTTTACAAAATTTGCACAAAAACAAATTTTGCTTTAGTAACCATCAGTCCTGGTGTGGCACTGTGGGTTAATGCACTGGACTGCAAAGTTGGTTTGAACCATAAGGTTGGCAGTTCAAGCTCACCAGCCACTCCTTGGAAATCCCATAAAGGGTCTCTATGGGTTGGAACTGACTCAACAGCACTTAACAACAACCACAACCATCACTTTAGCATGCTGATACTTAAAAGAAAGTAAATTCTTTTCTACCATAAATCTGTAGCCTGGATTTGAGAGGTCAAAAGGAAGCCATTGTTTTAATAATCAAAGGAGCAACTGGAGAGTCCTTGACTTCATGATCTTGATTTTAAATCACACACAATGGCAAGTGTCAAAGTAGAACAAGAATAGTCATCTCCATTCATTCAAGTTCTGTTTTCCAGTTGAAAAAAATCAAAATGAAAAACCTGGGCTACGTGTATATATTCAAAGGAAATAAACCTCAAAACCAGCAAGTGCCACAGTAGTGTGTTCATTAAAGTACCATTCTTTGTGGAGGTCTTAAATTATGTCATAACTTAAAGGAAAGTCACCATGCGGAGAGATGTCAATAAAGTCACCTCCTTAAGTGGCCTGTGAGCTGTTCTCCAGCTGGAGAAATGCTGTATCAGTGCATATAGGACCCTCCTGAGTCATGGGAACAAAGGATGGGTTGCACCAAAGCTCCTACCCAGAAACTCGAGGGAGCTTTGAAGAACTTGAAACCCAAGGCAGAAAGGTGTGCCATCCATTTGCTAAAGGAATTTATTAAGTCAATATGCTGACTTCAAGAGTCATTCACTCTACAAGGTTCAGCATATGATTGGGGCAATTATTTTATTTTATAACACTCCAATTCATCTGAGATGTGACAGTGTCAATTGTATTGGTCTAAACTCTCGAAGAAAAAATATACAGATGCATGCAGAAATACGATGAGTCCAGTGACAGCCACTTCCAGGATAAGTGTTTTGGCAAGTTGTGTCCTACACAGTGAATACCAAATCCTCAACCTTCGAGTAGACGCATAGACGTGTGGAGTTCTCACCACACATGCCTTTCTGTCTTCCCCTTCTCCCTCTAGGGGTCTCCAAATAGAGATAGAAGTTATGCAAATGTAGATACATAGACATAGGCATAGATATAGATATATAGATGTGGAGCTAGGGATAGGTATTAATGTGGATTGAGTGGTGTCCCTAAATATGTATTGAAATCCTACCCCCTATACCTGTGGATGGCATCTTTCTTGGACACAGGGTTTTCCTTGTTGTGTTAATTACCCAAGTAAGGTTGATTCTAAATAGAATCACTTCTGAGTTAAGCAAAGAGAAAAATGGACACAGAGACACACGGGGAGAAGAAGACAAACGATGCAGACAACAGAGACAGACATATGGACAAGCCCTGGACAGACAAGTGTTGCCACAGCTACTAGAAACTGAAATAAACAAGGAAGAACCGCCCCATAGATCCATATTCCGAATTAGGATTTGTACTCTCTTGAGCTGTAAGAAAGTAAACGTCTGCTCCTTAAAGCCAGCCATTTGGGGTCTTCCTGTTGCAGCAACATTAGGTAGCTGATACAGATGCAGACAGACCTGTAGACTTTGGCATACACATAGACATATAGACACCTCTTCAACACTTGTTGACTATAAATTAATTGCTAAGATTAAAGATGGCATTTGTAAAATGCTAATGAGCTAGAAATAAATAAAGGCAGTGAGTTACCCATTAAACACAAGGAGTTGGAATCTTCTTCTGGAACAAAAACATCTTCATCTATTTTAACCCCTTTGTTACAAATTCAAGAACCCATAGCCAAGCGATGTTGTGTGACCTGCTCAGGATCAAATGCCTGGTTAACACAAGACTTACGACTAGAGGCCAGATCTCCCTGACCACAGCCTTGGAGCTTCCTCAATGTTTACTGTAAGTGATTTCTTGGTTTCCAAAAGTATACAGTCCCAGGGAAACCACAGTAGATTGTAGGGTCTCACCAGATTGTTTCCCTATTTTCCAGCATCACAGGAATGGCACCATGTTGGAAACTATCTCAGGCAAATCAAAGCCCTGAGTGGCTGGTCCCAGACACCCCATCTCCATCATTCTCCCCTATCCATTTCCACTTCACATTTGCCCAAAGTTCTAACCCTCTCTCAGCTCACCTGAAGGATGTGGTGGTCAGTGCTAGGGGCCCATCAAGTGAGAGGAAAATATAGGTACCCAAATAAGATGAAAAGTAAGGCATGCTGGGTTGGTCTTACTGATTGAAATAAATATTATCAAAGATCCTCTGTGAAAAGGTCACTTCAGATATGCTTTTCTTCCCACATTAGCAGTACACAGGGCAGTTTCAATGTTCAAAATTAAGTGTGTGCTTTTAAGAAGAGGTCACAGTCCTGAGCTATCTTCCTACAATTGTCATTATGATAAAGGTCTTATTTTTTAAATATTGGGAGGGGTTTGAGCTAGTTCTGTTTAAACTTTATAACCCTTGCATGGATATGCAGTAATAATTGCCTTCACTTCTAGACAATCATCACAATTAACTACTAATGAAGTGTTATCAGGCAGAGATGTGTTCCATATATACGAGTGGATAAAGATGTTCTAATGAAGACTTTCAAGTGTTTCTCTCCTCATTTCATACAAGTACCTTCTAAAAACAAAATTATTTCTTTTATCGACAACCCCATTTCAAAGGAAAGCCTCCTTATGACTCCAATCTACAAAATGGGTAAAAACATCACTATTTTACTGGAAATTGTACTTTGTAGTCTCAGATATGTAGAATTTAGTTCAAAAGTTAGTAAATAAGAACTATGAAACTGTGTTGAAATACCCAGGAAAATTGGAGTCATTGTTTGCACATGACAACCAGGGTCTTTTATATCCACCTCAGTATTCATTCAACAAGTATTCATTGAGCCCCCACTGTGTGCTCACCGGAAGGATAGTGAGGATCAGACTGACAAAGTTTTGCATTCATGAACTCATTTTGTTAGAGTCTCCCAATGTGTAGCTAGCTACACTGGGAAGTGAGTTAGGTGTTTCTGGAAACAATTGAGGGGATACTGTGTAATTAATTCTTTGTGTGAAGTCCTGTTGACCTTGACCATGGAACCAATTCAGCCTGCAGACACTGGTGTCTCAGAGAGGAATGGATCAGGGAAAGGAGCCTGTGTCTCCTCCCCTCTTCTCCACTGCTTGCTTTGTGAAGACCTCCCAACACAGCCACAGATCCTCTCCTGCTTCTGAGAAGCAGAAAGCTCATGCTCACAGGTTTCACTCCCATCAGGCAGAAAACCTGGATTGTAAACCAAGTGCTGCCTCCCCATAAGTGTGTCGTTTTGAGAACAACCATCAACAACTGAGGCTCCGGTTCTCTCCTCTTCTGTCAACTGGGAATGATGAAGACACCCATGTCTACCCTTCACAGAAGTCCTTTAGATGGAACGCCAAGTCCCCTTCTATTACATCAATGTCAAAATGATCCCAACCAGAGGGATTTCATGAACTAGCAAGAGCATTTTCTAAATCTAAATCTGCATCCACTCTGATTTTTCCCATCCAACAGCATATTTAATACCATCAGGAATAAAATCTCTGACCCTCCAAGAAATCTACAGTTCACATATTTTGGTGTAACTGGATTTGACATATTTGTAACTACCACAGCATTAAGCACAAGTATCCTCCAATTTAAATTTAAATTCTGAAAACTCAGCACCTCCCCTTCCACTTCTATGTTTGTTAAATGCATGTTGGTCATGTGAATCTGTTTGTTTTTTTGACTTTTTTTTTTTTCCCAAAATCACGCCTTTGCATTGTTTTGACAAAGGCCCCTCCATCTGAGTGTATGTCATCATCTTGCCACTAAAACAAATCCTCCCTAAATTTGATAGGCACAGAGAGAAAGAAAAAAAAAAAATGTTCATAAAAACTCCACTAACTGAATACTTGGTAATTTCTTACCTTCCAAAAACATTTGACTCCCGATTGCCCCGGCTTGTGCTCCACCACTGATTCTGGAGAGACACTGTATATGCCTGAATGCACCTCTAACAGGCTCATTTCAGGTCAACACCATGATCTTGGATTCATCTTCTCAGAATTGTTAAATCAAAAAAAAAAACATTTTTTTTTGTTTTGTTTTGTTTTGTTTTTGCTATAGAATCCACTCCAGTCATGTATGACCGAATGGAAACATGCACCATACGGGTTTCAATGACTGCTTTTTTGGAAGCAGTAGACCATCGATCAATCCTCGCTTCTGAGGTATCTTTGGGTGGTCTATAACTGCCAACCTTTCAGTTAGCAACTAACCCCACTAACCATCCTTACCACCCAACAACCCCCCCTCAAATCTACTTTTTGAGTGACTGGACTCTAAGTAGGTAATACAATGGTGTTTGCTGTCAAAGAGAGAGTTTTGTGTTGAGTTTTGTGTTGAGTTAGCCTAAAAGGGACACTTTCTTGCCCACTCATACTCTAGCGAGCTCTTCCCACTCACCTGCTCACCGATCCTTTACTCTTTCAAACACATCAGTTATCACAAACATCTTACTAGGAGCTCAGCACAGGATGACTAGACTGCGGGTACTTACAAGTTCTCCTGAGGCGAATCACTCTAGAGCCGGCCATATTTCACATATACACAACACCCTCCACCCAACCTCCCCTTTGATGAGAAGAGGATACATACCTTCAGTGACAATGGTTGGAGGTTGCAAGACAATATGTCTTTGGGCCACGCCAACAATGTACGGCAGTAATTGCTCCAGGAGGTCCCCAAAACTATGGAATTCCGGGACAGTAAACACCAAGTTGTCACTGGTAGCTATGTGCTGGAGCTCTGCCCGGGAAGCAGCCTGGGCACCAAGGCCGAATGAGAACACACTAGCCTGCTTCAGGGCTATCACCCCTTCATGGAACTCATCACTAGAAGGTCCAGCACTTATGAGGACCAGCACCTGAGGAACCCCTTCCTTCACTCGGCTGCCCCCTGCCTGGGTGAAGTGATTCTCCACCACAAAATCAAGGGCAAGGCCAATGTTGGCCAACTCCCCACCGGTGAACCTGAGGACCTTCACTGCGTCCAGAACCTGTGCCTTGGTGGAGAAAGTGTTCAAGGAGAACATGGTTCTGGGCTCATCACTATACTGGACCACCCCCACTTGTATCTGCTGAGTCCCAATTGAGAGTCTCTCAAGGAGATTCACAAGGAAGTCTCGAATGACTGTGAAATGCGCACTTCCGGTGTTGTTTGATCCATCAATAAGGAAAATAATGTCAGCAGAGTCTTGTGCTTTAAGAGAAAGAAACGCAAAAAAAAAAAAAAAAATGTGAAAGCGTTAGAACAAGTGACAACATGCATTTTGTTTGTGTTCTGACGTGTTTCTTTGGAAACCAAGAAGAAACACGAAATATGGACAAATGGAACACACAGTGATTAAGAAATGTGACATTCTCTCTCAGGTCTGCATTCTGAATGGGTAAGAGGCAACTGTAGAAATGACCTTGCAGCAAAGAAGCGCTGAGGTATCGTTTCCCACGTGTCTTTTTTGCAGTCAAATTTCAGAGCATCGTGTTCACTATTCTCCAGAAATCTTGGGGAATTATTCTGGAGAGTGCCACTAAGTGGACTGGAATGCAGTTTTTAGGAATTCTGCATTCCCATACCTCCAAGGGAAATGCCAAAGACGATTCCAAAAGTATGGCCATTGCTCCAGACTTCTTAAGTGAATATGAGGTTTTTGTTTTGGGATTTTTTTAGTACAATTCCACAGCTGCAAAACATAATTCTGATTCTTGTGATGTGTCACCTCATGTGAAGCAACAGCTGCTGCTTCCTCTGTCTTTAAAACACCTGGATGAGAGTTGTGGTTTGATTTCCTCCTCTCAGAATTTGCTTCGTTGCATGACACTCTGATGGAAGTCTAGGACTGAGCTCAATGTTTTGTTCCTTTGGTTTGTGAGAGAGAGGAACATTTAGTTGAAATCTTACAGGGCAAATTGGTTTTCTTTCTTTTTTAACTCTTTATGGTGATTTGGGTGAATGTTTACAAACCAAATTGATTTTCTTCTTTTTGTAAATTTATTGTGCTTTGGGTGAAAGTTTACAAAGCAAATGAGTTTTCCACTAAATAATTCATCACGTTTTGATATGTGGCATTGATCACAATCCCCACGATGCTGTGCATTTGATTTTGCCATTGCCTCTATCCAAACGTACAATGCAGAATAATGTTAAACAGGGCGATATGAATCCAGTCATGACACTATTATCCAACAGTATTTTTATGACGTCCTAAACAGATTCCTTATTGGGACAAGGAGCATCTAACCCACCTTTAATGAGGATCAGCCCTGGTACCATAAAAATGGTGAACCAAGACCTCTTTTCTCCCTATCATGATAAGCATGGAACTCCCATGCCATTACTGAGAATAGGGCTCACAAAAGCACTGAGGAGCAGGGAAGAGAAATCTAAAACCACAGGCAAAAATACTTCAGAGATCCAAATAGAGCATTTAAAACCCTATTAATTTAAATGAGAGGAAACAAAGTTCATCCAGTAAATATGTTGAATAGCTTAAGCATGGCTTGAAACAGGAAGAGATTTTGTGTGAACATATATGAATCTATGTTATGATCTTTGTAATGACATGTGGCACTGTGAATCACAAGATCAGTGGTTCAAACCCACCAACCACTCCTTGGAAACCCTATACAGGGACACCACAAGTTGGAGCCAACTCAATGGCACTTAACAACACCACCATATAAATATCCCATCAACATTTATGATATTTATTTTTCTGTTCTTTATAATGGACATTTCATAATTACAATTATTTTTGTCCTTGTACCAGTAAAATTGCTTTCTTTTCACTGTGGAAACAGGATACAGATTTTTTCTCATAAAATTGAAGAATGTTGCTAAAATATACTTAAATTATTACTCAAGTACTGACTCTCCTTATATAAGTTGAAACAGAAATCGCTAGATTCAGAATTGCGTTCTTCCTTTCCTTCCAGAAAGCTTCCTGACAACAGATTGGTGGATGAATTCTTTGCACAGGGAAAGCTATTTGCTTGAAAACATTGGTGTCATAACCCTCATTAGAGCATCTAATGTGAAGGTTAATGACTCTGTACTTTAACAATTATCACACAAAAGTATTAAATAAGACTGAGCATTTGCTAAGAAACCCAAGGTATGTGGCAATCTTCAGCCAAAGTATAAGAGTTTTAAAAGATCTTTGGGAGGGAGTGTTGTTAGGGAGCATGAATTACATAGTGAGTCATAGAAATGCCCCGCATCATCCTATTAGATAAAAAATACTGCAAATAATACCACAAAAAAAACCTCAACATTTCTCAGACCCAAATCAATGATCTTGAGGGACATGGAAGAATTTTCTACATAATAATATGCCAATAGCATTTAAAAGAAGGATTAACTATATAATCTTGTTAAATGCTGTCAAGTCAGTTCCGACTCATAGTGACCCTGTATAGGGTTTCCAAGGAGCAGCTGGTGAAATTGAACCACAAACCTTGTGGTTCAAACTGATCTTGCAGTCCAGCACCATGACCCACAACACCACACTAGGACTCCAATTATAATGTTAGGGTCAACAAAAGAGAAGTTTTCTAAATCTTAGGATTTATATATAAATCTTAGATATAACACTATCTCTTGTTAAATTATGACTTGCTTTTGGATTGCAATTTACAGTAGAATAAATAAGGCTAAAAGCCCCTGAAGAAATAATGCTAAACCATTTCTCTTCTAAAAGGCTGAACATCTACCCCAGAGGGTCATAGAAAAACGTTGGATAATTTGTCATCACCGAAAATAAAACATCATTGTCTTACACACACAGTGATGGGACACACAAGAGCATGCTTGGTTATCCAGGAGAGCCAAAGCCTCAAGTAGACACAGGACCATGGTTTCATGTATAGAGTAAGGCATACCAAAGACCAACGTGATGCTGAGAGTGACCCGTTCTACCTAAAATAAAAATGAACCGGAAGTTTTCTGGTGTTCTACTCTTATGACTCATACCTCACGCATCTCTGTGGTATTTTTTATGGTGGAAAGTTTTGAAAATGTCCATTTGTGTGAGCAGAATACCCTCCTTAGCTTGCACATTCTTGTCTCCTACGCAAACTGCAGAATCGCGATTCAAATCTTCATATTTTGCAGACAGGAAAGCTCCTGTTGGCATCCTTACCAATTCTATATCATTTCGACTTCTCCGTTCAGAAAAATATTTGTCCCTTAGTCTTATCCATCTTCATGTTTTTTTATGACAAAGGGATCTCAAAAAACACCACTGATCACCTTTAGAGATGGATTGCGTTCCTGAAGAACAGTGGTGATCATTAACATGTTCTACATGTGTGTGCTTGTTTTATGATCAGCTGCACTCTACAGGAAAAAGTTACCTAGCAATAGGTAATCAATGGGAAGAATAGACCCTAACTGACTAGCAATCACTATAATGCCCTCCTAACTACCCTTCCCAAAAACAGTAAGCAGAGATGTATTATTATTCCTGTGATTTTTTTATGGAGCATGCAGTGGGAAATGATACTGGAGGAAGTGAGAAGTGAGGTTAATGAGAAAAGACAACATAAATGGATTAATAGTCCACCATGGCGCTGCTAGTGACTTGAACACTAGAAGACAGAGATGCTTTCTTGGCATAAAAACAAAGGTTTTATCATCTATGTGGAAACATATTATGTTTATTGGCTCATTTAGAGTTTGATATGGGGATCTAATTGTTTGCTCATTTTTATCATGATTAGACATAAAGGAAAACTCATCTATTCTTACTCTGGGATTTGGAACACATTAATAAAGAAAAGACACCATTCCTCTATTGAGTCTCTTCACTGTTTGTAAAGGATGATTTGTTTCTTTTCTCTACATTCATAGACTGGATGAATCAGTGATCCTAACAATATTGTAGAAAATAAAGAGTAGTCATCGTAGATGCCGTTTCTCATTTCACTGTCACCTGAAGAGCTTGGTTTGGGATGCTCTTTAGACTCCCGTCTTCTTTTCCTGCAATCTGGCCAGATGGATCCCATGTCGTCATTCTAGAAGTGGGGCATGTCACTTGGAATTGGGACACATTCCCCATTTACAAATGCCCATTAAAAACACTCTCAATTTAAGACTAGATACAGATAGCCTGAATATTACTCACACTCCTCCCACTGAGGAGGAGTCTAGTCAGAAAGAACATTAGCACTCATCCCTTTTAGAGTTGAAACCACATGAGACCTTTGGGGAAACCATTGTGCAAACAACCTCCTGAAACTCCTCGGAGTAATTTAGATGTGAAATCTTTCTCATAACTAGGCCATGCCTATGCAGGACTTAGTTAAGAGAAAGATTAATTCTGCTGACATCAAATTGCCCCACTTCTTGTCTTCTGCTTTCTGAACTCCTGTGATAAAAACTCATTGTCTAATACTCTTTCTCAAACCAAAGCCAGACCCATTGTCACAGCAACCTGATAGAGCAGAGGAGAAATGCCCACATAGGTTTCCAAATCTGGAAATCTTTTCAGAAGCAGACAAACACATCATTCTCCCACAGAGGGACTGGTGGGTCCACCAACGTTGAACAACTGTGCTACTAGAAAGCTCCACCTTTCTCTAGCCTTCTTTCTCTGTCTCCCCTTTTATGAGGCCCTCCAATTTGGCCCTTTCGATTGCACGGTTTATACCATAAAGCCACAACTCTTTCTTCCTCCCACTCCACCTGCCATCTTGAATTAGCCAAAGCTGACTTTCAGCCAGTTGCCACCTGCTTTTTGAAATCCCATAGAGGGTAAACCCTTTCACAAACTTAGGGAAAGAGTTGGCCACAACACCTTTTTTCCCTCTGATCATATCCTCTCTGTCACGGTGCTTGCTTATGTCTGCTCACCCATTTACTCTTTTTTGTTCAGATACTTATCACTTCTTCATTTGCAGCTATGTACACAGAAGAAGTTCTCCAACCTTCAGCCACATCATGCTCAGCCGGTGTCCACACTCCTCACCCCATCATCTGCAGAGATTTTTACACGTGTGTGGATAACCCCTCTGAGTACCCACCTCTTGGGTCTTCAGTGGTCTCAGTTTATTGTGGTCTAGTCACATGAAGGCCACACTGTCAGCATCACTTGGGACGCCTCTACCCCTCGATCAGTCCTCTGAAGTCTCCTTCTACAGATGCACTATCCTTCTGTTCACACTCAGCTACCTCTGAGGTTCTTCTCCGTCATCCTGCCCTCTCATGCTCTGACACTTTAGAAGTCCACTAGTCCAGTTTTCTACCAAACCAGGACCCCATGGTGGGCTAGTTCAGGAACTTACTTACTACTATATTAGATTTCTTCCCAAGAAAATGTTCTCCTTGTCTCTCTGCCATTCCTTCTTCAGTAACATTCAACTTGGCCACACCCTCTGATCTGGAGTTCCTGAGATAGCTGCAGAAAGTCCTGGAGTCACATGAATGGCTGATACTCTCTGCCAACAACTAAATATTATGAAAGGTCAGACTCCTCATTCTCTGACTCCTTAATCCATCACTGTAGAAAATGTTTAAAAATAACTTCAATTTCTCCAAGTCTCCAAGCCCAACTGCTTCACTCTCTCCATCATCTTTCTTTATGATGAGAGTTGATGCCAATTCAATTCTCCCACTTTCTTTCTTGACACAGTCAACTCTCAGAAATGTTGTCTCTCCTTCTTTTCCTTCCTCTCCATCTCAGAGAAGGTGCCATCTCTCCTTTATGAAGCTTGGATCTTCTCTGATCTTTTTGATTCCATATTAACTCCATGCCCACTCAACCCAGAATTTGCTTCAATCAAATATCAGATGGCCATATGGACTCATTTTCTAACAAAGGAAAGATCTCTGCCCTGCCCATCACTTATGAGTAAGCCTATCCTTGGATGCTATTCTAAATTATCCTGCTACGGTACATTTTTAAGTTTACTTATCACACACCTTCACCATTGGTCTCTTAGTCACATAGAAATGTAGAGTGCCAACAGGCTCAATGGTTAAATAACTTGCCTCAAGTGTTCATTGCATGCCAGTGCAATGCCTATGCATGATTCATGCTTCTAGTGCAACACTGATGAGCACCCTTGCAATCAGAAGAGTCTCTGTGAGCACAGCGGTGGCTATGGTACAGAGAGAATCGAAGTGGAGGAAAAGCTTAGGGGTTCCAGCTTTGGCTTTTCCTCTAACTGCGCATCACTTACTCTATCTAGGGCTCAATTTCTTCAAAATAGATTTGAGCTAGATCATATCTAAGGTTTCCTCCAATTCTACTTGTATCCATCAGTTCTCTGACTCTACAGAGCAGATAACAAGAGCTCGATGTCATTCCAGTAGATGCTGGTGGATGGATTCTTGTCCCTCTCAGCTCATGACTTGGGGACGTCGAACTTTCTTTAAGGAACTGGGCACCCCATTCCAATAACAGACCAAAGACATTCTTATGGGATGCCTGCCCAGCCATGCTGATGATCTCTTTTCTAAGGAAGATGGAAATATTTCTTAAAGAGTCATAATGATAGAATGTGTTTTTTTAGAGTTAAATATTTGTTGTCTCAAAAGTTCAAGAAACTTCTCTTGACTGTCAGTAAATGCTTTACTTTAGAAAGAGACAACTGAAGAATATTCAAACCTTTGTTTTTATACCTGTGAATATTCATCTCTTCCTAATCCCACCTCCCACCACCATCTTTCAGCCATACTGTTGCTTTAATGTCAGCTGTCAGCGGTTGTCAAGTTGCCAAGCTTATCTCTAAAGAACAGCAGGGCAGGGAGCAGCTTGGCCATGTTGCCATTACCTGTGATGTCTTTAAGGGTCTCTGTGTCTCCAGCCCTTTCTGGAGTCACGGATGAATGAACACAGGACACTAAGTTTCCTACTATGTCATGCAGTGAGGTAAGATTCTCTAGGTTGAAAACATGTGTATTGAGCGGGTCACTTGCTATTTCTTTTAACGCTCCTTCATCTGCATCCTCAACTCCAATTGCAAACACGTTAACATCAGCAGACTTAAGTTCAGCTGAGGGCAGGGCAAGGCCATTCTCCAAGCGTCCATCAGTTAATACTACAATAACCTGAGGGACTCCATCTTTGGCCCGGCTTCCAGCAGCCTTAGTTAGGTGGTTTTGCATTATGTATTCTAATCCTTTTCCAGTCTGATTGCTTCCCTCAATATAAGACATGTTGGAAATATGATCAAGGACTTCTTGGTTAGTATGGTAGGTATTTAACAGGAACTCCGTATGCGGGTTTCCGTTGAACTGGACCAGAGCAAAATGGAAATCATTTTCTCCCACAGCTAAAGATTTTATAACATCGTATAGAAACTCTCGAACAAGTGGGAAATGTTCCTTTCCAATGTTCCAAGAGGAGTCCACTAGAAATATTATATCAGCAGCGGCACCATTTTTGACATCTTTAAAAAAAGACATTGGTTTAGGTTTTTCTACTGTTCAAGAAATTACTTCCTACCAGTACAAAGCCTTCCTAGAAGGATTCAGCTTACACTAGGCTGTTGCTAAATATCTTACAAGGCACTTGTAATACAGGTAGGTAGACAACTTACCTGAGAAGTTGAAGACCTGGACACATGGACTCAACAGCTGATGGTGCCTGGCCATTGACCCAAGCCCCGTATGCAATGACCACACTACCCATGATAATGATGCTGCAGATAATGCGTCCCAGATGGAAAAAAAGTCAGCAATATCTGAGGTGATTTTTTTTTAACCCAGTCATGATTCTTCATGGCAGTTTGAGCCCCAAGATCCACCTGATCAGACCCAAAGGATATCCTCCCACAGAAAACCAACCATCACTTCCCAAATTCATTCTTCTGTTAGGGATATGAAACCAGGCTTTGACAGAAGGAACGTGAAAGCCGCATCTGTTTTACATAACCAACTCCCAATGTCTTGGGTACTTTGCTAGAAAAATAAATGTGAGGGAGACCTGTGTGTGGAGAGAAGGCAAGTGTCTCACTGATCTCAGAGTTTTGAGTCTGATGAAAGGAATCCTGACTAGTTACTAGGTGTTCTTAATTGTCAGAAGGCCATGCAGAGATGTTGAATATCATTTATGATTTTCTAATATGAATCCAATTCTCTCTAAAGAGTAAAAGTGGGAGGCTCAGGGTTTCAGGCATCACTGTCTAACACTGTGTTCTTCCGACTGTGGGCCAGAGTCTCCTTGACTCTTTGTACCTTGGCTGAGCTGATGCCCTCACCAGCGTGCCTTTGCCATTGAGGTGCAGCTTGCTTCCCCTTAATCTAAGGGCAGCCCATGTAATCAGATAATTTCCGTTAGAGGTCCCAGCTCCCAGATAATGGAGTGAAACCCATCTAGCTTGTAGACTACCATTTCAAATGCAAGAGACATTTTCCACTTTTTAAAAACTCTACAACTAAATTCTTAATGAGATTCATTGTATGGGGAAACATTCAAGACAACAAGCATTCTGTTCACACCGAGTGTCAAAACAAGCTACTGACAAACCAACTCTAGAATATCAAACTCATGTTCTCTTACTAAATAAAGCATATCTGAAAAGGCCTGTAACTAAACAAACAAATATCCTACACTAAATAGCTTATCTGTTTCTTTAACATGTATCTAGACTTCACCTCAAGTTCCTGGTGACTAAAGTCTAGCATTAGTGAGCAAACACTGTTTCTTTTCACGATACCAAGAGGTGTTTCTGGATCTTACCTGCTTGTTGTTGGGCACGAGTCATGGAAAAGCCTGAGAGAAAGAGGCAAAAGAGAGCCACACAGGGCAAGTGTCGGTGTTTCCTCATTCTGAATTTGTCTAAGCACCAAGTATGGACCTAAGAGAGAAAACGGGCAGAGAAAATGGGAATTATCAGCTTTACAAGTGCTACATAGTCCACTGGAAAAAAACAAACACTGTTTTCTGTGCCATTTTTAGATTTCAAGATGACTTTCTGACTTATTCTTTGAGCCAGTAGTAAATATATAGATAACAGATAGAAACATACACTCACAAAGACATAGATAGATAGATGATAGATAAATGGGTGAATGGATGGATGGGTGGATAGAGATAGGTAGATAGATAGATAGATAGATAGATAGATAGATAGATAGATAGATAGATAGATGATACATACATACATTCATACATATATACATACATACATACATACATACATACATAGATGACAGGAGAAAGAAAGAGAGAGAGAAAGGAAGGGGAAAAAAAGAAACAAAGATAGGTTAGAGCAAATGAGGAATCATGTAGAGGAAAGAGAGAAAGTTGGTAGGTGAGTGAGAGGTGGACAGATGTTGCTGTCTCTCAGGCTTTGCACATTTCATTATAATACTTGACTTTGTTTTCTCAAGCTGCCTTTTGACATTTTCTGTTCACCTCTTTTACGTTCTTATTTCTTCCACTTGCTTTAGCATCGGAGAACAAGTTTCAGAGTCTCTTCTGACATCCATTTGAGTCTTTCCCCTCTTTCTTGTCTTCTTAATGACCATTTGCTTTCTTCCTGTAAGAAGTCCTTGATGTCATCCCACAGCTCTTCTGGTCTTCAGTCTTTAGTGTCTAATGCATCAAGTTTGTTCTTATGATGACCTCTAAATTCAGGTGGGATGTGTTCAGGTCATATTTTGGCTCTCAGGGGCTTGTTTAATTTTCTTCAACTTCAGCCTCAACTTGCATATGAGCAATTGCTGTTCCACAGTGTGCCCCTGGCCTTGTTTTGGCTGATGATATGGAGCTTTTCCATTGGCTCTCCCCACTGATGTAGTCAATTTGATTTCTGTATATTCCATCTGGTGAAGCCCATGTGTATAGTCATCTTTTATGATGTTTTTAAAAAGTATTTGCAATGAAGAAGTCAATGACGTTGCAAAATTCTGTCGTACGCTCTCCAGCATTGTTTCTATCACCATATCTCCCAACAACTGATTCTTTCTCTTTGTTTCCAACCTTTGCATTCCAGTCACCAGCAATCATCAATAATCTTAATAGTATGTTTGATCAATTTCAGACTGAAGAAGTTGGTAGAATTCTTCAATTTCATCATCACTAGTTTTAGTGGTTGGTATGTAAATTTGAATAATAGCTGTGCTAATTGGTCTTTCTTGTTGTTGTTAAGTTCTTTCAAGTCGATTCCAACCCATAGTGACTCTGTGTAGGGTGTCTGAGGAGTGACTGGTGGCTTTGAACTGCCAACCTTGTGGTTCAAACTGACCTTGCAGGTCAGTGGATTATCCTGCAGCCCACACCAGGACTCTGGTCTTCCCCATAGATACAGGGACATTATCCTATCACAGGCAGCGTTGTGCTTCAAGATATGTATTGAAATGTTCTTTTTGATGATGAATACAACACCATTCCTCTTCAATTTGTCATTCCAAGCATAGTAAACCATGTGATTATCAGATTCAAAATGGCCAATACCAGTCCATTTCAACTCACTAATGCCTAGGATATAGATGTTTATATGCATTCCATTTCATTTTGAATGAACTTTCAATTTTCCTAGATTCATACTTCATGCATTCCACATTCTGATTATTAGTGGATATTTACAGCTGTCCCTTCTCATTTTGAGTTGTGCCCCATCAGGAGATGAAGGTCCGGAAGGTTTTACTCCATTCATGTCATCACAGTCAACTCTACTCTGAGGAGAGAGGTCATCCCCAGCTGTATTTGAGTGTCTTCCAACCTGGGGGTTCATCTTCACTATATCTCACAGTGTTCTGAAGATCTTCATCATGAAAGATTCAATATTATGGTGCTATGTGACAGTGTTCTATCGATATCCATTTCCTAAGGTTTTCAACGCCTAAATATTTGGAAGTAGCTCGTCTCTTCTTCTTCCTAGTCTGTCTGTCTTAGTCTGGAAGCTCATCTGAACCCTGTCCACCTGGTGGAATAGCTCCCAGACTCACAACAACATGCAAGCCACCGCAGTACAGTAAACTGACAGACAAGTAGTGGCAGAAACCCTATACAGGGTCGCTGTGAGTCAGAACCAACTCGACTGAATAACAATAGTAACTATGCCTAAAAATCTTTTTGTTTCTCCAAAATAGAGCTAGACATTTGAACTAAGATGTGAGCAAAAAATCTTGAAAGAATCATGGACTGCCAAGAAGATACACATATCTGATTTGGAAGAAGTACAACCAGAATGCTCTTTATAAGCCAGGATGGTGAGACCTTTGTCTCTCATACTTTGGCCATGTTATCAAGAGGGGCGAGTCCCTGGAGAAGGACATCATTCGTGGTAAAGTGGAGGGTCAGTGGAAAAGAGGAAGACCCCAACGAGATGGACAGAGGCCGCAGCGATGGGCTCACGTGTAACAATGATTTTGAGGATGGTGCAGGACTGGACAGTATTTCATTCTGTTTTGCATAGGGTTACTATGAATTGGACCCAACAAGAAAGCACCTAACAATAACAATAAACAAATGGCAAAATGGGTCAAGGTCAAGATAGTCAGAGGCCCAAAGTCTCCTGCTGTGACACCCAGTGTCTTAAGAAAGCTCTAGCAGCTCTGTGTGTAAACCACAATAACTGGTATCCTCTATTCATGCTTAGCACTTTTTCTCCAACAAAGCCTGCTGTTTGCCAACCTCCTATTTCAGAATGCAGCAAATCCCAAAAACCCCTTACCATTGAGAGCACGCTCCCTCTTAGCAACCCTAGAGGACAGAGCAGAACTGCCCCACAGGATCACAAAGCTGTCACCTTTAGGGAAGCAGACTGTCACATCTTTCTCCCCAATCCTTTAGTTAGCAGCCCAGCACTTAACCAGTGCGCCACAAGGGTTCTTGGAGGGAGCCTGGGTGTGTTTAATGAGCATTCATTGCTATGTGGTACACTCTCTCCCACATGGACTGCAAACCAGGTTGTGTTTTATAGGGTCTCTATGAGTCAGAATTGACCCAGCAGGAGTGAGTTAGGGTTTGGGAATCTTTATGGAAGGAGACCTGGTGGTGCAGTGGTTAAGCGCTCAGCTGCTAGCCAAAAGGTTGGTGGTTTAAAGCCATTCTGAGGGAGAAAGAACCCTATGGGGCAATTCTGTTCTTCAACTAATGGATGAGCTACACTTTGGAAGGATGCAACAATGCATTGTGCATTTGTTATTCTTGTTTCTTTTTATCAAAATTGAACATCAGACTTTTGATCAGGAGTTTTAAATAACAAAAACAGTTGCCACTGAGTTAATTCCAACTCATTGTGATCCCCTGTGTGTCAGAGTAGAACTGTCTCCGAAGGGCTGGCAGTATAGACCACTTCAGACAGTTTTCTTCCACGGTGCATCTCGGTGGACCCAAGCCTCCACCTTTTGGTCAGAGTCAAGTACGCTTACCATTTGTACCCCTGAAGTGAAATCTACATTGTAACAGTGTGACATCAATAGTGCCATTTCAAGTCACTGTTTGCTTACTTCAACTGTTCTCCAAGGAGAGTGAATTATAAATTGGTTGGAAGTCATTTGTAAAGATTTTCATTTCCAAGACATTAAACTTTAAAAATGAACCACTTCCCATTGGGACACGAAGTACTGAAATAAACATGTAGTGGACAGGAATGATCGTTGCCAAAGTCTGTGCAGGAGTACTGGTGTGGCACTGCGAGTTAATGCGCTGGACTGCAAAGTGTTCGAACCAAAAGGTCAGCAGTTCAAGCTCACCAGCTGCTCCTCAGAAACCCTCTATAAGAGTTGGAACCAATAATAACATGCAGGTATTGGGGAAGGTCGAGAAGCGGGGATAGAGTGGGGAGATGAGGAAGAAGAAAAGGGAGGCATTCTGCAAATTCTCACAAGAATGGGCAGGAGACGAGCCTGGGGGATAATCAGGGACGCAGACTTCACCATGACTGCCCAATATGCAAGATCTAGTTTAGCTCATTCCCAAGAGGAGCAAATGTCTGGGGTACACACCTTTCCTGCCATCGTGCTTAGGAGCCACTCATGTGGTTCAAGGGTCTGCAGCCCAACTGTAGACTATCCAATTCCACAGGACGGCTTTCAGTCAGACCACTTCTCCCATCTGTCATGTCTTGGAATCCAATGAATAAGACCAAAGTTTTGGTCCTTGAAGCTTGGGGAACTTTTTAATTTAGATTGGTAAAAGGTGTCCAACAAACACCATGTCCCCTTGGGCAAGGGGTTTTACAATTAGGGGCCTGGTACTTCAGGATTGTGGTGAGATGGCTTCCCATTGGGATAGAGAGTAATGAAAACTACGTAGTGAACATGAATGCCCGTTTACAAAAGTTATCCAGGTGTCAGGAAGGAGAGAGGGGAGGAGGGTAGAGACAAGGGATAAGAAGGTTTAAAAACAACTCTAGCTTGTGTCTTTAAGACTCCATTTTGCTTGTCCTGGTTTTTTTCTTAGCAACAGTTCAATTTTGGCTACCAAAACACCAAGGAAGTGGGTTTCTCCTTAAACTCTAACTAGTTTTCAGCAACATCTGGCCTTGGTTCACGGCAGTGTAGTTAAGTTATTGGTCTTACCCACACACTTGCAGCTTGTTCTTTCAGAAAAACAGAAGATGAATGAACATTTGCTGGTTGTAAAACTCCAGAAGTTCACTGATCTAACCATAGTTGTAGCACAATTTCTAATTTTCTATTTTTTATGTTTTAGCACATATCCTTCTTGTAGAAGTGGTAGCTAGTCCACCAAAGTCAAAGATACATCATGTGAAATCAGGGTGAGGAAGCTAACAAAACTCATCACCACATTTTCATACAAATATCACATGTGTTATAAGGCTTTTGCAAAGTTTGGACGTCAGTTTCCTGTGTG